GGGGGTGTCTAAGATCCTCTAGTGCCTGGGACGCCCTCCAGGGAGACACTCAGGGACAGGGTTAGAGACCCTCCTTCTTATCTACTTCCCCCAGCTGGAATTGCTGGAGCTGTCTCCTCCCAGAAGAGGCACAGGAGCTTCTTTTCCCCAAGCTCAAGGTGTCAGGGCAGCTCCCTGCACACCTGAGGGGCTGGGAACTGCCAGACCCTGAACCTTCTCTGAGCCCCATATCCAGGGAAGGATTTAAGGGCCCTCTGGGTCCCTGTGGCTATATATTCCTCTCCACCCCGCAAAGTCATGGAGGAGGAGTCACTCCGCAGGCAGGGTCCCCAAGGAATATGTTCCCCAGACCCCCATCTTTGCTTGTCACACTTCTATCTTCTTTTAAGGCATAATTCAAATGCCACTCTCCTTTCCAGGCTTTCTTCCCACCTGCCACCAATTGCCCCTGCCAGTTTCTCTGAAAGGAAAGGTCATCCAGTCCTCCCTGGACTGTGTCAGGCCTGCCCAGCTGTGGGCCTCTCTGGGTGGGCCTGCCTCTGGCCCTGGAGCTCCTAATGCAGGGTCTGTGCCTCCCTTCCCCAGGCTTTGGGCATCTGTCAGATCACCTCCTAGACCAGTGCCTGGCATATAGTAGGGGCTCAGTAAATACTGGTTGAATCATTTCTTTCTTGAGTGCTTGTAGAGATGGGTGACCAGCCAATGTGGCAAGTGCAGCCAGGGGTTTGGGTCTCAATCAGGGGTGTGGAGGGTTGGATGGGGTGGAAGGTGAGGAGGGGAGTAAGCCCATCTCCCCTGTCACCATCGTGGGCAGCCACTTCCCTTAACTGAGCAGTGTTCACCATGTGCTGGGTATCTTATTAAGCATTTCACTCACATTATCCTCTTTAATCCTCTCAACAACCTTGCTAGGTAGGTAGCATTATCCTTACATTACAGATGAGGAAACTGAGACTTAGAAAGGTTAAGTGACTTGCTCAGGGTCACACAGCCAGTAAAGTGGTGGAGGCCGGATTCAAATCCAGGTCAGCTGACTCCAGCGTGCACATTCCTGACCACAGCTTTAAGCTTTTCCTAGGACCAGCCCTAGGGAAGAAGCCCTCCCCCGTCCATTTCTCCTCCCAGGGAAGAACCCAGAGAGGAGGGTTGGGGTGGGCGGAGCCACAGTGGCTCCAGCTCTGACGCTCTGCCCTGGGGCATCCTAGAAAACTGAGATTCAGAAAAGCCCATCAAAAGCACCCATTCTCTAGACAGACCTGTGTTCAAATTCCAGCATTGTCATGTATTAGTTATGTGATCTTGTCAGAGACTGAACCCCTCTAGCCTCAGTGTTTCCATCTGAAAAATGGACACTATACCACCCACCTCCCAAGCTGTTGTGAGGATTTCATGCAAAGTGTCTGGCATGGAGCAGGAGTTTAGCAAATGCCAGCTGCTATTAAGGTTTGGAGAACAGTGACCCTCAGGGCAGACTGGGGTTCCCTAGCTCGCACCCCTTTTTCCCCGAAGGTTGTCACAAGGCAATGGGTGTAGTCAAAAAGCAACTGGCAGGAGAAGGGTTCAGCAGCCCCACCCTGGCACCCTGCCAGGTCCCCCACCCAGGTTCCCGTCCAGTGGGGGCCCCCACCAGGTCTGGTGGAGAGGGAGACCGAACTGGCCTGGAGGTGAGGAGAGGAGGAAGGGGAGGTCAGGGGTGGGGCTGACCCCTGCAGGAGGTCACCTGGGCAGTTAATCCAGCTTGACGGAGCAGGGATGAGCAGGGAGGAATTAGGGAGCTTACAACATCCTTTCATCCCGTAGCCGCCCGCCTGCCCGCCCAGCCTCCCTCCTTCCTTCCTCTCTCTTTCTACCCTTTTTCTCCCTCTCCCTCCCTTTGCTGGCAGCCCAGCCCTAATAAAATGCAGTGTCTCCAGCAAGTCTGCCCGGCTGCCGCCTCGCTGCTCCTGCCTGCACGCAGCCCTCAAACCAAACTGCTCAGCTCGCCCCGCCTGGCAGCTGCCACCTTAACCCTTGCCAGCCCTGCTGGCGTCCTTGGGCTGAAGGCCCTCCTCCTTCAGTCTCCCTGGGGCACAGGGGATGACTGGGCCTGCCGTCTGACAGGGAGAGGGATGGAGTGGGGACTGAGGTCACCCCAGCTTTGGAGTCCTGCCCAGAGAACCCCTCATCTGTGTGGCGGTGACTGCCCTGTCCTGTCTGTTAGCTGGGGACCCGCTCCTTCTGCCTTCTCATCCTTATTCTGCTTTGTGCCCCCCCACAGCCCCAGAAGCCAAGAGGATAAGGATTGTTATCCCCATTGGACAGATGAGGAAACTGAGGGCCTGGCAGGGAGGTCCCAGGCTGAGCTAGGTCACCTCGGCTGCTGGGTGATGTTGCTGCTTTTCTATCGAAGACTTTTTCCATTACAGGGTGCTGTCTCTGTGCACGCCTGATGTGGGGGTGACTTTGGTGACGTTGTTCGTGCACCTGTGTGTTGGGGGCCCATACCTCTTGGACTGTTACAGCTTTGGCTTTGTACATTTTACGCCTGATGCGGGGGTGACTTTGGTGACATTGTTTGTGCACCTGTGTGTTGGGGGCCCATACCTCTTGGACTGTTACAGCTTTGGCTTTGTACATTTGTGGGGTGCTAATGTGTCTCAGGTGTGAGTTTGTGTCGATGGATGTGGCTGCAGATGACAACACATTTGCCTCAAGTGGGAGTCCATGTATGTGTGACAACGGAGAGATGTGGTTGTGTGCCTTGGTACATGTGTGTATGGGAGTGAGAGGTAGCTCCACAGGCATGTGCAAGCATTCACGCCGTCCTTGTCAGTCAAGATGTCGCTCACACACACCTCCATTCATTTTATCATCTCCAGCTCTCCGTCTCCAGAGCCTTGAGTCAGGCAGCTAGCAGAGGAGGGTGGCAGTCATTCTGCTGGGCAATCAGCAGCAGCAGCGAGAAGACTCTGATTCAGGGTCAGAGCCCTCCCCGGGAAGGAAAACACAGACACCACCCCCATCTGTTTGCTTCCATTACCCAGCTCCGACCCCAGTGGCGCCCTGGGTCCCTGCCAGCTGTGAGAGCAGTAGCATCTCCCCTGCCTGAGGCCCCACCCTTGCCCCAGGCTGGAAGGGACAGACAGGAGGGTGAGGGGACGGGAGTGCCTGGGCGTGGAGGCAGGGGGTTTACACGCGTGTGCAAGCATGTCTGCGTGTGAGCTCAAGATCAAAGAGCAGCCCTGAGGTGACCTGGCGGCGGCGGTGGCAGAGGGCAGCTGGCTGACAGGGAACGCCAAGCCACCAAACAGAGTGGAGTCAGGGAGGCCACAGCTGGGAGCTTCCTACCCAGACCTGCCCAGAGTGGGGGTAGCCACGGGGCCAGAAGCACCTGCCACCCAGGCCAGGCCCAGCCCAGTGTCTCCCCCAGGAGCCCTTGGGGGCTCAGAGGTCCCTCCCCACCAAATACCTTCTCCAACTCCCAGGCCTTCCCGGCAAGAGCTGTCTGGCCAGCAGCCTTCAGTTCAAAGAGTTCAGTGGTTATTTTCTTCTTTTTTATTAACATTATATATAAAGAGGGGTCCAGTAAGAAAGCAGAAATGAGAAGGCTGGGAGGGGGTGAGAGTTGGCTTCATTCCTGTCCCCTGGGGTGGGACTCTTGGAGACCCACTATGTCTCTCCTTCCTCCTGCACCTCCCATGAAACCCAAATCCAGCCGGAGCCCACATCCCTCTTTCCCTCAACTCCTAACACACAGAGAGATCCGTCCAGGAGGAAAAGGGTCACATAAATAGGAAACCACAGCAGGGAGGAGGCTACTTCTCTGTTGCTCTTTAAAAAAAAAAAAAAAAAAATTGTACATATATATAGCTACAGTCTTTTACCTCTCCGTTTCTTCGATGTTTTACCACAGCAGGGGTGGAGGAAAGTTAGCTTTGGGGGGACATCTGGGCCAGGGAGGGGCAGCACCACTGCCTCTAGGCAGCTCCCCCCTGCCCCGTGCACCTCACCAGACATTCTCCAGCTTGGGAGAGCAAAATGTTTCCAAGGCCACCAGAAAGGGGGTTTGGGAGTCTGTCTTGCCTGGTAGGTCTCCTTGGAGATTTGGGATTTGGTGCCCAAACTGCCAACTTACTGGAGGGAAAGAAGAGGTGGGGGGTCAGGGGCAGAATAGGGGTGCCCGTGCAAGGGGAGAGTTGACTCTATCTGTTAACAATGCCCTTTGTTTTCCTATTTTTTCAACAGCTTTTAAAACCAAAGTTGTGCAAAGTCCTGTACATGGCAGAAGAAATAGGTCCTTAGGAAAGACATCTGAGACCTCCCACTCGTTCTCCGAACAGAGGGGGAGAGAGGAGAGAGGGTTCTCTTAGTTCTTCCCTTTAAAGCCACAAATATTAAAAGATTCCCTCACTTGGGGGAGGGGGTTCTTTTGGTTTAACCCTCAAACGCAAAATGAGGGCTAGAAGTGCAGGGCAGGGGCTAGTTCAGGTCCCCACCCTGAGTCCCAGTCACAATGTCCAATGCTGTTTTTGGCAGAGGGGCCGGTCAAGAAGGGGGAGGCCCCAGGTGGCTTAGAAGGAACCAAGCCTGGCAGGTCTTAGGATCCGTGGTGCCTGGTGCCCCAGCCCAGGCCTGACCTGCAAACACTCCACAGTCTCCCCCATCCCCAAGGTCTCCAGTCTGGGGAACAGGTACTAAGTTTTAGAAGCTGGAAGGTGATGAGCCATTTAAAGCCAATCCAGGCTCCTGGAGCAGAAGGGATACAGCTGTCCCCACTGGGGTGGAATGCCCGACATCTGGAGGGACACCCCAGTATCTAGGCAGGGGGAGGTTCAGGGGACATCCTTGGTCCATGCGAATTTCATCTGGAAGCTCTTGGGTCCCTGGAGGAAGGGGCAAGGGAGGGGAAAGGGAATGCCTTTCCCCTGTGCTCCTTGATGATTCCTGAGTGTCAGCTAGGACTGAGGCGCCTTCTGCCTGGTCCCAGGGTCCTTCGTAGGGGGTGCAGGCCAGGTGGGTGCTCAGTACACAGCCCCAGGGTTGGGCGGGGGCCCAGGGGAGGCATGGTGCAGGGTGGCCGGCTGAGGTGGCTGCTGCTGTAAGTGGGGTCCACTCAGGTTCTGTGCGTGGTACCAGGAGTTGGTGGGGTCGTCCAGGTAGCTGGGGGAGGCACTGTATGGGAGCGGCGGGGGCAGCTGACTGCGGGCAGGGGCCGGAGTGGAATGGGAGGAGGTGTCCCAGAGGGCAGGTGACGGTGGTGAGTTGCAGGCCATGGAATCACTGTTGTTGGGACTGTGCTCCAGAGGCACCTCCCCGTTCTTGTAGAGCTTCTTGAACTTGGAGCGGCGGTTCTGGAACCAGATCTTCACCTGGGAAGAAGAAAGGGGTAGCTGGTTAGCCTCTCACAATGCTGAAGAAAAACCCTTGAGGGGAACCCAGCCTAGAGAAGGCAAGGCCAGCACCCAGTGCCACACAAGAACCAGGGAAAACCAGGCATCCTGACTCCCAGGATGCCTCTCTTTTTTCCATCTGAGATAGAACTGTGGAACCGTCGGAACATTCAACTGCCTGTATCCAAATTCTGCTCTGCCACTTACTGAGCATGACCTTGGGCAAGTTACTTAACCTCTCTGGTTCTTGCCTTCCCTTCTGCAAAATGGGAGTGATGATGGCACTATTACCTTCTTCATAGGGTCATTATGAGGCTCAAAAACGTTAGGACACATAAACAACTTAAAACAGCCTGGTACATAGTCAGCACTCAATAAAAGGCAGCCTGAGTGGGAGATGGGCAGTTTGTAGCATTTCGTTCACGTTAGACACCCCTAAGCAGAGGTACACCAATGTGCAGAGACAAACACACACCCACGCACACATCTCCATACTCCGCAACGAACCCACTCACAGCTTCACAAACAGACACCAGCCTATAAGGATACACACATACATAGATACACCCAGATAAACACCCCACAAACATAAGCACCCATGTTCACACACTCAGGCGTGGAGAAGTCCTCCTGGGCTCAGGCTGGGTAGTGGGGGTGACCTGGGGACTCACGAGCAGGTGAGCCATGATTCCCCAAATTTCCCTTGGGATATCTCCCCCTCCCCCTGCCACTCCCCACCCCATGACTGATACAAACAATGAATCAGCTCCTCACCGGGTGACCCAGATTCCCAGAGGACCAGGCCCCACGCAGCCGCAACCGAGGCCCGCCTGTCAACACCTGTAGGGAGCCAGGCTGCCACCACTCCTCCCTGAGCAGGACAGGCTGCTGGGGGCTTTAGGGACAGGCTGAGTGTGGGGATGGGGCTCCCACTTTTGAGCCCCCATCTCCCTTAGGTAGTGAACTCTCTTGGCTCCAGCAGAGGTAGGGGTGGAGCATTTGGGTGCTGAGGAGGAATTTGGTGTTTTGATACAAGCACACATTTTTGTACATGCACTCAGCAGTGTGCACAGTCACATACACGTGCCCTCCATCTTTCTACACAATGATCCTTGAAGGATCGGACCCCTTAGGTGAGCATTCTCACACGTATGCAGACCCACCAGCATGTGTACAAACATATACTTGTGTCTACACTTCTAGACATACATGTCTAGCCTGGGGGGTAAACACGATGCAGACTCCTATCAAGTGATCAGCACTGCTGGGGGACTTGGGAGCTGGGGATTCTGGGGTGGGGAGGAGAGCACCTCTCCCTGTGACACACATACACAGTTGCACAGGTTCACAACTATGCACACTTGTACACGTGCTAACGCAGAGCCTTCTGACAGAAGTTGAAACTTAGAGGCCCCCATCCCACACGTAAGGGCTCCAGGAGCCTGCAGGACCCTTAAAAGGTGGCGCTTGGGGAACTCCGGGGTCCCAAGCGCCGCCACCCCGACCCCTCGGCCCTCGACCGCCCAGCACCAACCTGCG